TCTTTCAGCGCCCCTCCTCTTCCCAAACCACCCTTTTTTCCCTCTTCTTCTTCTTCTTCTTCTTATTATTATTATTATTATTATTATTATTATTATTATTATTCTTTTTCTTCTTCTTCTTCACGTTCACCTGCTGTCAACTGCGACAGAAAGCTCTGGTTGTTCGTCCACTTCTGGACTGCAATCCTGTTTCAAAACCAGAATGTTGCGTGTGCATCCTTTTGATATATCTGATTAATTTGCGTGCCGACTGTTGGTTCCTTGCCTCTCAGGCAAATGTACTCCGACTTCGAAGAAGGCTCCCAGTTAGTCGACTTTTACGACTGGCTTTTGGATAGTCAGTCGGTCCATTCTTGTTTTCTCTATAATAGAGCCCTGAATTGCGAACAGATTAATCGTGGATAACTAACTATCCACATGACACAAGCATCTTTTAAATATTTGTCAGATGTGCCTCAGTCAAGTTTTTTTCACTCTTTGTTCTCTTTTTCTTTTTCTTCTTGTTAATTGAAAGATACCTTATTGAGTGGTGTCCAAAGATACACTCACGTCCATACTTTTCGCTGCCTTCTTTTTCTGTTTTTCTTTGGTGACTCATGTTCACCTTCAGTATGACTTCCTGTGTCCCTTTAAGACTGTCCTCATGGAGCGGCGTGGTCTCGATGTATGGTGTCCGCCTCGTGTGCTAGAGGTTCCGGGTTGAATCTCCAGCAAAGGCTGTGATTTTGTTCTAACCTTTTCAGGTCCAAATTTTATTTGACCTGACTTGTTGCCAGGTCGGAATATTTTTTGGAAAAAAACATGCACAACTTACGTGGGCTACATTCGCTCTTGTAACAAGCAAGTAACAGAACATACCATATGTTTAATTCATTTTTATTGTGAAAAAGTGTTTGAAAAATGTAAAAAAAAATGCTGTTTATATATATTGTGTCAGAGTGTGGTACTTTTTGAAGCAAATACGAGGATGTAGTCCAGGTTGACGCGAGCATGTTTCACAGAAATAAACTGTCTGTCGCCTCTGACTAGGTGTTTTTCTGTCACTACATACTGCACAATCCCTGCTCTTCTTTCCTTCTAATATGGCAATAAAATGAGGGTGCTTGTCAAGTCTTTCTTCTGCATCCAGGGTTGATGGGCGCCCTCTTCGCCGAATAGACTGAGAAGCTCGCTGTTCTGAAACAAGCTACTGGATCAGTTTTTTTTTTTATATTGTATGTGGTCAAGTGCCTTGCCAGGTTGTGTCTCTTTATATAAAATGAAACTGTTCACAACAGCTACTTCTAACAGCCAGAATAAAGTTTTTTCTACCACTTTAGAGATTTTCTAGTAAAGGAACAGCCGTTGCAGTAACGATCAAAACGGTCAACAACACCCATATTTTGTGTGTGTAGTCAAATAGTCAAAGACAGAGTTGCAACACATATCTAGCAGTGAATGGCAGGCTTGGATATGGCAGCTGTTTTGTTGTGGCAGAACTATAATATGGCTCAAAAGCATATAAATAACCGGTGCGGCGGTCTGCCAATGCAAACACTCGCAGACCCTATTTGTGAGGTTTCTGAGGATTGTACATTCTGAATGCTGACCGTCCTTTGAAACTTATTGTGCATTCATCTGCAACAATATTTTGATACGGAATAAACAATTGTAGATACCTCTCATTCATATCAAGGGCCATGTCTTTCATTTTATTTCCTCTTGTTAGACAGTCAGCTCCAGCACTTGTAGTTTGATTAGGTGGTTGCACATGAAACATCCAGTGAATTTGTTCAAACATTTGTTGTGAAAATATGTTTCTGAAAAAAGGCATATAATTTATCCATTCAGCTGAAACAAAATCTTTTATCTTTCCTTGTTCCTGCATTGCCATTCTCAAAATGACTCCAAGATATGCTTTTATTGCAACAGTTGTAACATCTAGCCAAGTATGTCACAACAAGAACATGCTGCAAGGGTTTTACTTTGTTTCTTCTCCGCTGTGTGCCCGTTGTTAGTTAGTTTCCACGACTGTGTTTACTGTTTTCAATGATAGCAGGTGTAAAAAAAAAACAGTTCAAAGAAACAACAAACTGTTGTAGGAATTTCATTATTAGAAATCTGCGTTTTGCACCGCAAACATAAATTTATTTATGTTAGAAACACTTGATTTCACCCACTCATCACTGATTCACTCACTGCACTTTGATCAGCTGATGATTCAGATCGGAGATCGATCGACTGTCTTTATCACACTAAACTACTACTATCCTTATTCTCCTCTTCAGATGACAAATTATTACTTTCAATATGTAAATAATCACTGTCATTTGCATCTACATCGCTTTCCAAAGAAAAAAATTGGAATCCGTTTCCTCTAGATAAGAAATAACTTGATCTGCTGTCAAGCAAGTATGTTTACTCGGACCTGCCATCCTAATTTTACTCCTAATTTTTAATTTTCATTAAGAATCAAACGTTTCCTGTATGGCTTACACAGAATATTACCTCAAAATTGTGGTCCAAACAAATGTCTCGCCAGGTAAGACTTACGAGCAAAAACAACGGCTTGTTATTAGCGTGTCTAACTGGGTAAGACATTCGGGCGGAACGGGAAAATCGCGATGTCTTGCCCAGTTGGACATACGACCTGTAAAGGCTAATGAACTTGGACTTTTAGTAATTCCCCCTGGTCTCTGGGAAGTGAGATCGGACGCCATTCCTGCAAAATCCTTTGGCAATTGGGAATCGAAAAGAGTAGCGTAACGGCGCATCCTGGGCAAACATTTAAAGTTAAAAATCTACCTTAAGTATTTCAGGATCCTTGCCGGTGCTACATAGTCTCTTCGGCCTCAGACTTGAGTTAAAAGAAGAACGAAGCACTTATCCATGCGCCATGATGCTGATCCGTTGTTGAAACCAAACCTCAAACCTTCTCCTTTTTGTCCAACCTTTTCAGTACCTTCAGTGCTTTCTCCCACGTTTCTTAGGCCTCGACAACTGCCTGTCTCATGACATCAATGTTCTTGGCAGGATTCTCTCGAGTCTCATAGATCTTCAGCCTGTCCTCGGCCAGCTGCCTCAAGTATTCCCCAATGAAAGAAGTGGAGACACCAGAAAAGTGGTCAACCCTAGAGGCTATAGAGCACTTACTGGCCAGGTAACCAGATATGCAACCTTTATTCGTAGCTCCAGCTCTCCCAATTGATATGGACTGAAATATAGTCCAAATTAGGGAGTGTTGCCAATTCATCAAACTCTTTCACAGAAAATAAGGCATAGCCTGCGGCATGCTCAAACAAAATAAATAGGAATTTACTCATATTGCAGCGTCGATAGAAACAAATAATGTCAACAAAAGTAGAAACTCGACCCACACGTGGAAACCGCCATGAATATTATCAACCATTTTAGTACCAATTATGAATTAATCGAGTAACAGAAAGTGTATTGATCGGCATTCATAAAAAGAAGTAGAAAGATAGAAGAACACACTAGACAACATAAAAATCGAAAGCTATAGTGCCGGGAATTAAACCTGTCACCTCCAGACGGCGTGTGCGCCTCGCCATGAATACAAGCGCACTAAGAACATGGTCAACTAGGCACCCCCAAAGAAAAGGTGTCTTATTGACAGGTTCAATTCCCGGCACGGTAACTATAGCTTTCGATTTTTATGTTGTCTAGTGTTATCTTCTATCCTTCTACTTTTTCTGTGAGTGCCGATCAATACACTTTCTGGTACTCGATTAATTCATAATATTTAACGGCTTTAAATGTTCCCCCTCTGTTTATTTATTCATTTTAGCACCAAGTATATCAACAGCAGATTTCCAGGAAGGTAAGAAGAGTAACGACAGATACATGAGTGTATTAGCTTTAAGAAAGGAACAGACAGGAACCGAAGATCTGCCCTCGACACCCACAGCGGTAAAAGAGGAAGTGAAGGAGAAGAAGACAGACACGGCATATTTCTTTTGTGTTTATAGACAAAGCGTAAAAAATATATGTACATACAAAGCGAAGCTTAACACATACGAATAGTAGTAACTGCTCACACATAGTACGTTCCTTCTTCTTTCTTCTTTTGTCAAAATCTGCTTGTGCCGCTAGGCGTCGCAGTCTATCAGATGATCGGCAACCGAGCCAGGGCGCGCTCAGTCGCTTCATATGCCGTGATGTTATGAAGTCTCAAGTTGTCCGTGACTCCTTCAATCCATCTTCTTCTTGGTCTTCCCCTGCCTCTTGTTGTTTCGATTTTACGTTCCTTGGGATTTAAAAAAAAGGAAAGCATACCCTTTTGATCCCTGTATATGTTCCGGGGCCCCATTATAGGAAAGGAAAAAAATAATATACCCACTGCCTTCCTAAACAATACGTTGTAAATGATGGCTAATGGAAGGTTTGCTAAAATCAGATGTGATGGGCCGAGCAGTACTTATATCAAAGCCCAACTGTAAACTAGAATATAACGTACCAATCGATCTTTTAATTGCGAACGAAGAAGGAGAGGAAATTCATTTCTACTGCTGTCATTCGGTTCTATCGTATCACCTATTTACACAAAAGCAGTCTTGATGGCGTAGTGATTATTTCGACTGCTTACCATGGCAGTGTTGAATTCCTAGTCAAGGATTAATTAATTATCCTCACAATTTTATTTGGGGGTCCAGTAAGGGGAAAAGGTAACTGGCATGGGGGAGCTACTGACATGTCACCCTATTATGTCATAAAAGTAGAATAAATGAAACCCTACAATATCACGATTACGGTAACTTCCTTATGACTATTTATGGATCTTTGATAGGTCTAGAAAAGTATACATACGTGTGGTGGCCACATAAAATACACATGTTTTCAAAAATGGTATCTGGTTTCTCGGTAATGTGCCTCATTAGAATTTGATATCGTTTACCTTTAACAATGCTATAACCCATCTTTCTACAACCACCAACTTTGCCATCCTTCGTCACAACAGGCAACTTGGTGTTCAAGGCTTGGAAAAGTGGAAAAACCCTCAGTTATTCATCTTAGGAGCTCAACCCATCTGCACGCAGCTCAAAGGTCTTTCCGCGGGACAAATCAAATTCTGTCAGCGCTACCATGATCATATGCCCAGTATAGGCAGAGGTGCCAAGATGGGCATTGGTGAATGTCAGTGGCAGTTTCGTTTGAGGCGATGGAACTGCAGCACCGTCCAGGACTCGTCCGTCTTCGGCCCAGTGCTAAATTCAGGTGAGAAATTGTGGATGTTGGATTTTTATCATCATCATCATACTCTGTGCCGGAAAGCATAGGCTTCACCATCTCAAACGATCACCATAATCACCGATTATGTCAGTGTTTCTTGTCCCACCCTTCTCCTTGTGGCCAAGCTGTAGAGGTTGTTGTCTGTCAGTCTTCCTATGGCTCTCCTCTTTCAATACACACTATAACATTATTAGCTGATTTAGCAGACATCATCTGTTGCTTGACACCGTTGTTCGAATAGTTTCTTAATTTGTTTCATGTGTATTTAGTCAACCAAAGACAGGGAGCCCTTTCCACTAAACTGACTCATTTGTCAGCGTTTCTGGGACTCAAGTTTTACCTCATATAAGGTATTTAACTCATCTTAGGATTGCTGAGAACACAGTGACAGACAGACAGACAGACAGACAGACAGACAGACAGACAGACAGACAGACAGACAGACAGACAGACAGACAGACAGACAGACAGACAGACAGACAGACAGACAGACAGACAGACAGACAGACAGACAGACAGACAGACAGACAGACAGACAGACAGACAGACAGACAGACAGACAGACAGGCAGGCAGGCAGGCAGGCAGGCAGGCAGGCAGGCAGGCAGGCAGGCAGGCAGGCAGGCAGGCAGGCAGACAGAAGGGCGACCGAGCTTGCAGGCGGCTGAGCGGACGGATGGATGGTCGGACGGGCGGACAGACAACGCAGTCAAAACGCCATGCCAGTAAACCAGTTAGAAGAATTAGAGGTAGACTGTCAATATTACTAGACATGTTATCAGAAGGAAGGAACTTCAACACGAGGTGACAGTTGCACAGGCATGATAGAAGTAGCGCATGAGGAAGACACAGAGATAAATGCCACCATAGCTTTGCCACTTTGGTGGGGTGAGGCAAGAGCAATGACCGTATCATTGATTTTGGTAGTCGTGTGTATTGTTGGCGAGTCATGACCGCCTGCACGTATGGGCAGAGCATACGCTTGTGATGGTTACCATGATAACTTTCCGTTACACGTGTGTGGGTGTGTGTGTGTGTGTGTGTGTGTGTGTTAGAGAGAGAGAGAGAGAGAGAGAGAGAGAGAGAGAGAGAGAGAGGGTGTCTAAATGTGTTGAGTGTGTTTGTGTGTGAGTGGGTGAGTGTATGCGTATGTGCGAGTGAGTGTATATGTGCGTGTTTTTTAAAGCGCAGTGGACCCCGTGTGTATGTGGTTACCTGTCGACAGTTAGTGAACTGACGGACACTTATTCTTCTGATAGCACATGCCGATGTGGGGTTGTTAGTCAGATCTATACGCAACCTTCTGTCTCGTTACCTTTAGTCAATTCTGACACATACGTCGCCCTGCCATAATGTCACGATGTCCAGCTTCTTCTTTGCTGGTTTTTTTCTGCCCCTCTTGTTCTCCGTCTTTCCTACTGTCACGACGTACTATAATTTGTCTCTTGTTCATTACATGACCAAATAATGTAGATTGTCTCCTTCTGATGTGGGAAATCGGTTCTCTTCATGAGTCAGTTTCTTTTAAGACATCTTCGTTACTCTATTTTCCAGGAAATTCCTACCATTCGTCGCTTCCCCCCCAAAAAGTTTCAATAATCGTCCAACTCTCCATGATTCACTTTCGCAAATAAGGGTAGGATCTATATAGTAGCCTCTGAGAATTATCTATTCTGTTTCAATCGACACAGAAATAAAATAGATTTATGTGTATGTGTGTGTGTGTGGGTGGGTGGGTATGTAAAATCTGTTTTTTTTTTGTGTGTGAGATATTCTGCATTTAAATTCTTTAATACACTCTGATCCGCTGTTGTCAGAGTACCCAAGTACTTAAACGTATCAACTTGCTTTACTTTGATGTTGCATTTTGGAGGGTCAGTTTTTCTTTCTTACTACCATTACTTGTAATTATAAATGTTTTTCTGCTGTTCACACTAGGACCCTTGTTTTGACAGACATATTAGAATTTAATAATTTCTTGCACACGAATGTCTATCCCCAACTTTATGCATAATCATGTCCTGTATATATCCCCGCTTCCCCCCCCCCCTTTACACTATGCTGCACGCACACACACACACACACACACACACACACACACACACACAGAGAGAGAGAGAGAGAAACCACCCTATGAATATAATAAAGTGTATATTTGCAATGTGTGCACAAACAGGGCAAAGCGCTTTGCTATGCTAGACAGTAACTAAAATAGTTTTCGTTTTACTTACTGATACGAGGTAACTTCTTTTCCCTTTGCCGAAGATCCCCGGAAGAAGAGAAGAAAAAAAAAGGGGCCCTGGGGTTAGCTTACTGTCAAGATTATGTTTCATTGCTTTGTTATTAAAGTGAGAAAGAACGAAAACAGCCGCGCAGAGGGTGGAAAAGTGGATATCCTATTTTTATTAGATTCCTTTGTTGTGCATACTAACCAACATATTTTTACATAAGCTGGGAACCTTCTCCAAAGGCTACAGCTAAGGAAATATTCAAACCCCGGTTGAAAGCCGCCCGCTGAGACATAAAAAAGGCCGGCCTGATTGTTCGAGCTTCGCCTGTCTAGTCAGACTAGGACCTCGATTGCCATAGGATGGTTTATGATTTCAAGAAGACAAATTTACCTGGGGTCCTATTTCCCGGATTTTTCCTGAAGGGAACGATCGTAGCACAGGCGTCCAAGGTCTGTGGTGAGTGTTGTCGTCTGCTTACAAATCTCAGCTTACGTCGCTCGGATAAATGCGATAGCATACACAAAAACACACACATATATATGCACCTATTTATAATATATAGATATATGTGCATTCGTACACGCCGAGATACAAGAAGCATGTATGCGCAGAGAGAGAGAGAGAGAGAGAGAGAAAGATGCATATACACACAGACACACACACACACCCTTCCCAAATGGATACAAGGGTACTTTAAAGAGACAGAGGGCCGGCTCGCTAGCGTAGTTGGCTAAACCGGACTGCGCGGTGCCGGGTGACCAACTCCTTGTGGTCCGGGTTTACGCCCAGGGGTTGGCAGAAAAGCCACATTTCCCCCAGATTTACGGTATTTATCATGGAATCAAGGCCGAAGGGTTGCGATATCCATAATACCGAGCCTAAAATTTAACAACTCATGGCTTCTTGATACTAAAAAAAAAAAAGAGACAGAGAGAGAACATGTAAGAGAGGGTGAGGGGAGATATTCACACATACGTAGCTACAGAGATACATAGATCAATTTATACATAGATACTGGGGTTGATGGGTGGGGGAGGGGGGTGCTCATGCTGTCTGAGCCTCCATGCTCCGTTGCCCCTAAACTCTGACCCACTGTTTGACAGAAAAATGCACTAATCACTATGCCACTGCAGTTTCTGTAATCATATTGACTACAAAGCAGAACATTTTTTTCTTTGTACATCTGTCATGGAAAGCTTTCAAAACAGTGAACGGTAGTTACATTTGCACATGTCATTCTGGCTGAAATTTCTAGGTGAACTTGGCTAATTTCAACTGTCAACTTTTAATGTTATTATTCCTTCTTTGACTGGCAATTTCACTCAAAATGAGTAAAGCCCAGGGAAAATCACTCTGAATTACAGGCTTGGGTTCGACTGACGAGTGCTTCCCGCATGTACAGTTGTATGTGTGATTTCAGGGAACTGCGTGGTCTCTAGGTATGGCCTCCGCCTCGAATGCTGGAGCTCGCAGGTTCAATCTGCGGTGAAGTTTGGGATTTCATTCACTTGGACTTCTAGTAATCTCCCCTGGTCTCTGGGTAGTAAGATCAAACGCTCGTGTGTATTCTTGCGCACGTAAAACAATTCCTTGGCAGTTGGAAATTGAAAAGAGTAGCCTAACAACGCTGCCCGGACAACATTTTGAGTTAAATATCTACCCAAAGTATTTCAGGATCCTCGCCGGTGCTACAAGGCTCGTGCACAGCGCTTAGAATCTATGGACTCAGGATTGAGTGAGAAATAGAACGGAACAATTATGGGTTCCTACCCTTGTGCCATGAGGTTGATCCGTCGTTTAAACCCTAAAACTGAACCTAAGTGTGTGCCAAGGAGCACGGTTCCCTCAAGTTGTTTTCCTCACCGCCAATGATAAACAAGAGACTACAATTATTGTATTAAGCCAAGTATTGATATAATTTTGCAATACAATAGTGAATAATATAGATTATAATGCCTGAAGAATGAGTGCAAAAAGACTTAAAAATAGTCAGAAGAATCTGTCCCTGACATATTTATATATGTATATGTATATTTACATACATATATATGCATACAATTAATGCAAACGGTGTGTATGTATATGTGTTTTAAGTGGGTGTATGTGTTGAGTGAGTGTGGTGTTTGGGTGGCACGTTTGCTACGTAAATGCAACAACAATATACATAATCGCAACTGCTGCAACAAATATGTCAACAGATATGTTTTACAGTATGTAGAACCTTCAGAGAGGGGATTCCCTGCCGACAAGTGATAGAAATGTGATGACAGAAATGACAAGGAGCAAAAAAAAAACAAAAATCCCTGTCCATGTTATCAAGCAGCTGCAACGTGTTACGTATAGAATAAAAATGGTCAAGGCAAACTGTTGTGGCGCAGGAGTTAGATGCATTACTGCTAGCCTGACAGTCTTCGGTTCAGGCGGTGGATATTTGGATTAATAGACTTCAGTCTTTATATCATCTTCATCATCACGTGCCCTGCCGACTGGAGTGGGCGATCATGCCTCTCCATAATCTGCAATCTGCAATTGCGTGTATCAGTTCGTGTGTTGACACCCCTCCATGCCATGACAAAAGGTTGTCAAGAATCGTCTCCCGTTAACTTCCTCTGTCTCTCTGTACAAAGATCTTTCCAATGGTCACAAAATGTTCCGGTTTCTTTTTTCTCATAATAAGACCAAAAAATAATGACTGTCTCTTTCTGATGTTTGTGATGAGTTGTCTTTCTAATAGTATATTTACCCTCAACTGTATGTCCGTCTCACAAATGTGTTTCTCTTTGATCCGACCCATCCCCCTTTATCCCAGCATGCCCCCCTCCCCCTCTTTCCATACCTATTTTGCACCCAACACCCCCCCCCCCCCCCCCAAAAAAAAAAAAAACCGACGTAATCCACATGCTTCAGTGCCATCTAAATTCCAAACTCTCACAAGCTCCTTTTACTTGCTCCCCCTTGACTTCCGACCTTTTGCCTCGTGTTTTTAATATAAGTATTGTTTTGTGTATCCCACAACTAGAAACACACGACGTGACCTTGACGCCAGGTGCCAGTAAATGAACAGCCGAGCCCTGCAGGAGTCACTGCTGGTGTCAGTAAACCCTGCAGCCGGTTTCTGGTTGCCTGGATAAAACAAGGCACAACAAGGACGTGGACATGTCCAAATTACAGACGTTAGATTTATCGGACATTTTCCGTGTCTGGCAGATGCCAGCAGAGCTAAAAAACGACCCTCATCTACACGTCTTGAGGCGCGTTTGGTATTATGTAAATTGAGTAAATAAAAGACTACTATTTTGCTGTCTTTGACATGCCGTTACCCGCGCTGGACTGCGAGGTACATCTGGCTGGTAAAGCCGTTAAGGTTTTTAAAAACAAAAAATAAAGCAAAGAATCCCTTAACATTAGATGCAGTAAAGCAAACCAAGTATTAGGACAGCTAGTCTCCCCTTCCCCCCCCCCCCCCTTTTTTTCCTCTTACAGCATAAGACAATCCCAATCAGCACAAAGAGACATCTTATTCAAAGCATATTTATTCCAACTCTGTGCTACCAGTACCAGACATGGTCACTCACAACAAACCATAAAAGAAAATTAGTAACCATGGAAATGAGATATCTGAGAAGTGCTGTAGGAGTGACCATAAGAGATCAGATCAGGAATGAGATCATAAAGAGAAAAAGTCGGCACAGAACCAATTCTAAATTACATACAAAGACAGCAAGTGAAATGGTTTGCCCACTTAGAGAGAATGCCTTGTGACACCATACTATACAAAACAGACATGGAAAGAGAAGAAGGACGTAGAGCAAGAGGTAGACCAAGAACAATATGTAAGGATAACATGAGAGAAGCTCAACAACAGCACGATGTGCCTATGGTCGAGGCGGCCAGAAGAGCTAGAAACAGAACCTTATATCTCCGTCGACACCCACAGCCGTAAAAGAGGAAGTGAAGAAGAAGAAGAAAGAATCCCTTTTCACGCCTTCAGACACAGTGGTCATGTAGGGCTAGACCTATATTTTATAGATGAATCGGCACTTGGTGGGTGATGGGGTACTTTCCAGGACGTTGCCTGGGGACCCACTTAATAATTAGACAACCTGGGGGGCCAAAATCATTTTAAAAGAAAATAAACAATAATCAATAGATCTCGGTCAGGACCTGAACACACACCATCTTCGGGTCCGCAGGCGAGGCTGTAGCCGTTACGAGTGCTTTAATTATAACTTTTATGGAGGTCGAACGAGATATCCGGGATCTGCTTCCAGATTTGGATTTTTACATTTCAGGATGGTATTGTAAACGTTTAGGTAGCAGCCCCGGGGAGATATACTGGTGTGATTATGAGACTGACGCGCTACTTACTGCCTGTCAAAGTGAGAGGCCATGAAGATTCCAGCACCAAAGTATTTGTTGGGGCACTCCCTGCGTAGCCGTGTGATTTTTCCATTCTCATCAACCTTCTTTGTCTTATATTTTAGCCTTGACATTTTCAAAAGTTTCGCTAGGCTCTACCTCGAGGGTAATAGTTTTACCCGTTAGGGTTTTCACAAAAATTTGCATGATGCCAACAAACACACTAGTAATCGATGTCACTCCCTCCACTAATCTCTTTTTGGTCGGTTTTGTAGCTTCTGTTCTCATGTAGTACTCCCCAACTGCTGACTGATTTGGTCCCATTCTGAGCAGACGACCACACCATATAATTCTTTGTTTTAGGAAATCGTTTGCGGTTACTGTTTCTACTTATGCACGTTATGAGGAGCCTGTTTTAGGCTAGGTTGTCCTGGTCACTAAGCATTGAGCTGTAGCTCTGTCCTAAGAAAGCTTGTTCCTCATTATCATCTTCTTGTTTAACTTTTGCCGTCAAGCGTCGTGAGAGAAAGAAAAACAAATTCATGCTCCAGCGCTTAGTTGATGGCTTTGGTCATTGTTATTCCCTGTGAAAGAAAATGAAGTGTCGATACATCTTCTTGGACGCCCTCTTGATCTTGTGGACAAGCGAGCAGGCAGACCGCCGGATTAATAAACGAACGGACAGATAGACACAAAGACGTATAGAGAGTCAGGCAAACAGGCCTGTATCTATCTATTTATCTGTCTATCCATGCATCCATCCATCCATGCATCCATGCATCCATCCATCCATCCATCCATCCATCCATCCATCCATCCATCCATCCATCCATCCATCCATCCATCCATCCATCCATCCATCCATCCATCCATCCATCCATCCATCCATCCATCCATCCATCTAATCTATCTACCTATCTATCTAATCTATCTATCTATCTATCTATCTATCTATCTATCTATCTATCTATCTATCTATCTATCTATCTATCTATCTATCTATCTATCTATCTATCTATCTATCTATCTATCTATCTATCTATCTATCTATCTATCTATCTATCTATCTATCTATCTATCTATCTATCTATCTATCTATCTATCTATCTATCTATCTATCTATCTATCTATCTATCTATCTATCTATCTATCTATCTATCTATCTATCTATCTATCTATCTATCTATCTATCTATCTATCTATCTATCTATCTATCTATCTATCTATCTATCTATCTATCTATCTATCTATCTATCTATCTATCTATCTATCTATCTATCTATCTATCTATCTATCTATCTATCTATCTATCTATCTATCTATCTATCTATCTATCTATCTATCTATCTATCTATCTATCTATCTATCTATCTATCTATCTATCTATCTATCTATCTATCTATCTATCTATCTATCTATCTATCTATCTATCTATCTATCTATCTATCTATCTATCTATCTATCTATCTATCTATCTATCTATCTATCTATCTATCTATCTATCTATCTATCTATCTATCTATCTATCTATCTATCTATCTATCTATCTATCTATCTATCTATCTATCTATCTATCTATCTATCTATCTATCTATCTATCTATCTATCTATCTATCTATCTATCTATCTATCTATCTATCTATCTATCTATCTATCTATCTATCTATCTATCTATCTATCTATCTATCGACCTACCTACCTACCTACCTACCTGGCTGTCTGTCTGTCTGTCTGTCTGTCTGTCTGTCTGTCTGTCTGTCTGTCTGTCTGTCTGTCTGTCTGTCTGTCTGTCTGTCTGTCTGTCTGTCTTCTGCGCCTCGTCCTTCTTATTCTATTTCTGTAGTCCTTGAAACAGCAGTTGGCACGTTGTTTTGGTCAACAACTATGATGCGATATTTGCGACTTTCGACTCAAAAGTATGATTTTAGCAAGCTCGTAATTAGACATCCCTCCCCCCCCATCCCCCCCCCCAAACCCCATCATTCCCCCCCCCCCCCCCCCACCACCCCATCATTTTCCCCACTCCTTTCCCTTAAAAATAATAATAATCATTTGGACCTGAAACCAGCACAGGGATTTCCGTTCCCTCATTTGTCCCTGCTTTCTGAACACTATGATACACACTGGCAATAGTCCTTTGCTATCAAATCTCCTGCAGTTGATTTCGTATCCTGATATTGCGTGATATTAAAACCCCGTTCATAACCCTTAAGCCACACACGTCGACATTCTTCTGTAACAAAACACAAATACTAACACTGTTTTTTGTTGGTCTGTTCACAGCGAGTCGTGAGGCCGCCTTTACGCACGCCATTTCTTCAGCTGGAGTTGTCTATGCTGTCAGCAGGTCTTGTCGGGAAGGCGATCTGTCCACCTGCGGCTGCAGTCGAGCCAAACGGCCCAAGGACCTTCACAGAGATTGGATATGGGGCGGCTGCGGGGACAACATTGAGTACGGGTACAGGTTTGCGAGAGCCTTCATCGACGTTAGGGAGAAAGAAAGGAATCATCCTAGGCATTCCACAGAGCTGGGTAGAATGTTGATGAATCTTCACAACAACGAAGCTGGGAGGAAGGTAAGTAGGCTGATGTTAAATAATGAGGGTCTTTCGTGGCGAAGTGGTCAAGCCGTTTGCATCGCGCTCTAAAGGTCGTGGGTTCATTTCACTTCGGCGCCGTTCAGTTCACGAGTGCAATTTTTTTCGAAAATCCCTAGGGATGGTCGCTTGAGCTACGGAGGTCGAGCTCTGTGCGACCCTCTCGGCAGGCAGCTAGCTGTTCTGCGAAGAGAGACTGAGCCATAAGGGTTAAAACCCGGTGCAATAAAGTCGATCATCTCACCTTTACCTGTACTTAAGTAAAGTAAAGAAAGCATGGGTGACTGCAGTCAAGCTAAAACTAAGGAATGCATCAACTTAACTGAGAATAAGAAGCGTAACGAAAAGGGAGAAGAGGAACAATCTTCACTTACAAGCCAAAAATACATTTCGGCCGGAGTCTTTGTCAATATAAACCACAACAACAAATAAAGTGCAGATTACCCAGGCCAGCAGACGAATGAACGAAAAAACGAACGATTTTTATTCTTTAAGTGTTAAAAATCGGGAGCGCAGGTCTGTCTTGTATTCGCTTCTTTCAAACACTCATCTTTCACACGGCAATTGTATTTTGTATATCAAACATACTATGTTTATATATCAATATTCCACCGGCTGTAAGTTCCGATGGAAGGTCCTGGGTGCTCGTCCCCTCCAGGCTATTCTCTTGTTACAGTGCCTGAATGTTGCGAGCTCATACGTTTCACACATCCTGCTTATTTGTATGCATACTCTTGGTTTCTTGACACTTGCAGATGTACTCCAACTTTAAGGGATGCCCGTAATTAATCGACTCCTACGACATACTTGTTGGGGAGGCAGTGGGTCTATTCTTCTTTTTTCTCTCTCCAAAATGGGACCCTGGATATAACATGGGGATCAATCCCTAGAATGAATGTAAAGTAAAAAAAAAAAAACTACAAAAGGATGGATCGCATATGGATCCCTTGCAATATACATTCAAAATACACATAAAACACGCAAGCACATAGTAAGGTAGACATACAGACACAAACAGAGGGACAGTGGGAAACATATAGAGAGATGGAAGAGAGAGAGAGGTGGAGGAAGAACATAACATATTATCAGTTTCATTCAGCCTGGTCTGCTTTTAAAGGTAGACCAGAGCATTACTTTGTATGCCGAGCCAACCTAGGAGCCAAAGTCCATTTTGGGGAGAATATACAATCCGCCTTGGGGCGAACTAGAACCAAGTTTTTATAAGGAGTAGAAAATTATAGGGAAGAGAAAAAGTTGGTAAGAAACAACAATTAGTTTATGTTAGCTTTACAAAATCGATCACAATAAACAAACAAAGGACGTTGCGGCGATTAGCCTTCTTCAGCACATAAAGGACAACACAGTAAACATACACAAATAGGCTCTAACTATGAAGTGACTCTAGAACCAAGGCCTTTCTGGCGAGGCTTTAGCCGAGTGTTTGCATTTTCAATTTAAACAGTCATAAAAACAAACCAGCGCTGCCAGCCTAAGGTGGAGAGTGATTGCTGTTGTGTCTTGTCCGATACCAGACGAACAATAGAAGAAATCGTCAAGACGCAACCGTGTTAACCATTACATTGATAGTCGGACACTAAATTAAGTTATTTTACCAGTATTGGTTTATTCTAGTCTTCCTCTTTTTAATCAGATTTTAATTAATTAGGGTGAAGGAGGCCTAATGGGAGTCTTGCCATATACTCAAAAGAGCTGGACGAACGGTTAGAAGTCTGGGTTGTCATGCGGGAGACCCTGGTTAGAGTCCTCGGTGAGGCTGGGGATTTTTTTTTTTTTTTGGGGGGGGGGGGGGGCAAAATAAAATCCTTACCTGATCAGTCGTGGCGACAGCACTGGCCATGCGGCCCTAAATCCTCAGGCTCAAAAGACCTCCCTGCCTACACCGCAGACGTGGTATATGAAGGCAGTAATTGGCAGTTTGGCAATATACTCCAGGGGGCGCCACCTGAAATAGGTTGACAACCACTACGCTAGCCACTAAGTTCCCGTAATTCACTTTAACCAGACCTAAGACTGAAGATGCTCGATAGTTTGACATCGAGACAATGAAGACCACCTGTGTCAGAACTGATTTAAAGTATACGAAACACACGGCTCTGAATATACGCGATCGCTGACACCCACACAGTATGGACTATAGAAGAAATAAAAAGACTGAACCCAATTGTCTCCTCATGTTTGCATAATACAGTTGTCCCTGGACGCCGTCTCTTCGCCCCATTCTCGTCTTTTTGTTTTCTTCGATAGGTATTCCTCTACAATATTTTATTGGTATACCTCAAAGTCTCAGACCCTCGCTTGTGGTGTTTAAACGCACATAACTCTGGTGCCGTAAATACCTGCTACAGATCTGCACATCAAAGCCGCAGTCTTGGCGGCGCGGATTTATGAATCATAATGTGTATTTATATGCTGCCTCAGACATACCTCACACACCTCACTCCCGTCCGTGCTAAACTCGAAGTTCCTTGATATCCTGCACGCAATCAACCTTGTCAGCTTAGTTTTGGGGGAACGGTTATTATAACTCACTGATTCGAAAATGATTATAGACAGGCAGGCAGACAAGCCGGTCGACATGATGATAGATGAGATTAGATTAGGTTATGTTAGATTGGAGACGTAAACAAGCAGAAACTAAGCCATATAGCCAGACAGGCATTTAAGGAGTCTGGTAGCTCGGTAAGCGGGTAGGTAACTGTGTACATGGAGAAAGAGGTAGGTGGGTGAGTTTATGGGTAAGCTTATAGAATGATGTCCACATGTATTCATGTGTGCGTTGGTCCCGGGTACCGGCTAGTTAGCCTTTTTTGGATATTTTCTCTAGGTCATACAGGTGTGATGGGAGATGCGCGGGCAGATATACTGGCCGGTTCTGCACCACTTGGTGGGGAACTGATATATGACAAGCTGGATGTAATGAGGGGGGCCCTTTGGAAGCGAGTGAGCAGTGTGGAGGCGCAGATAGATCATTACGGTCTGAGGAGAATGGCGCTGCGAGGAGTTACAAAGGTATCTGGCCGACGCTCGACACTCAGGGGACAAAACTTTTCGCTTGCTGCTGAAGATGGGGACTTAGAGCTTATGGGAGTTTTCCCGAGTGTTGTGATGTCGATTCCTAATTCAACATTTAACATGTATGCGTTGGATAGGGACGGTTAAAATTTAAACGTTTAAAGTTGAGAAAACGGGTTCTATAGTACTGAGTTTTCTTCCACATGATTCTGTCCGGCAAAACAGTTCACCTCACGCCAAGAACGTCGCATCAAGCGGCGACTGTCCTCAAGGATGTCCGCAAAAATGTTGCACTCCTAAACCCAACAACGCAGCTCGCGAAACGAACTTCAGAACACGGTGCAGACGGCTCAACCATTTAGGGAGTGATTAAAATAGTGGGCAGCCAGCAGAGGTTACATGTCTAATCAAAGACACACACTAAACACTTACATGCATTAAATGTTTTCTTTGTTCTGTAATGTCATTCTGTAATGTCGTATAGAACTCACCGTTTATTTTTCCTTTCCAGTCTATCCTGTACAATCACTCCGATATCGTGGATGGAATTTAGTCCAGCACCTTTGCTTCTCTCATCAACCTTCTCTTTAGGGTTTCTCTTGGACGTCCACGTTATCAATCCTTCTATTTTCCCATTTCAGTGCATGTTGGGTAATTCTGTTTGTCTCTTCCCAGAAGGTCTCCAATGTAGCGTCATCTTCTCTGTCTTATAACCGATGATACTAGATGTTGCGAACACATATAGACCTTTTTTCTATATGCCACATGTTGAAATGTGCAACCAAACCTAGGTCGTTTTCACTTCTAATATTTCCTATTACCCAGTTTAGGCAGACTCTATCTGGAAGCTGCGATTAAGGGGGAAACTGACATGCAGTCTTAACATTTTTCTGCTTTTTTTTTTTTTGTGTTTTTTGTCCAGGTATATAAAGTATTCCTTTAATAATACAGAGCTAAACAGCACGAAGAACCTATGGCACAGCACCTTCAAGCCTGTTAAAGTAAACATTTTGAGATCTTGCATCTTTCCCCTGACAACTGATGGATTTGAATCATGCACCCATACATTGTCTTTAAAGAAGACAAAATCCGAGTTTTTGAACTGAGATGTTACTGAAATAAATCTGAGAATGCCATGATCGAGAAGAAGAAAAACACCGACAACCCACCTGATCTGAACATTGATGAGAGCCGACTCAAACAGCATTGTCCCCGACAGCAGAGACCGACCTTCGCGGATGTGGATATAAGACACTGAAGACGCATTGGCTTTAAAAGCACATAGCATTGGAAAATTGGTTGCAGAAGGTGATACGAAGAAGAGCCACGTTCTGTGAAGAACCTACTGGTTAATGATGACATAAAGTAGGGCTGTACCGAATATTCGCTTCGTATTCGCTTCGGGGCCGAATAGTGGACCTAATAACTATTCGGTATTCGGCCGAATAGTTGCGGTCGGGCCGAATACGAATAGTGGTTACCTTACTCCCGTTTCTGCATACAATGTGAAGGACTGAAATAACTCTCTCATTAACACAATCGTTGCTGTTGCCCAAGTCTGTCGTAGCGGGGGAAACTGCTACTCGGTTGCGTGGTACAAACTGCATAAAATGCCAACCGCAGTGTGTGTGTGTGAGTGAGAGAGAGAGAGAGAGAGAGAGAGAGAGAGAGAGAGAGGGAGAGGGAGAGAGAGAGAGAGAGAGAGAGGGAGAGGGAGAGAGAGAGAGAGAGATCATGCATTTTTCGTTCTTTCAGGGTGTCTTCGCCCAAATCAAATTTGAAGATATTGCTAACGAGAATATGAAGGTGGGTTTAAATTACATCGAACGAACGGCCGAGCGAGCGATGGTTTTGAAAGAGGCGGGAGCCCGAAGACAACTAATCACAGACATCAGAAGGAGACAGTCGTCATTTTTCAGCCATGTTATGAGAAGATTGGAAATGGA